ATATAATAAGAATTACTATTTACTAAAAATACTAAGCAAAAATATCTGGCAACATTAATTGCATACCATTTCGGATAAGTTTTGTTTTTATTTTTTATTTATGAAATGAGAAACATTTAAATATGCGTTCAATCACGGATACTTAATTTTGGTAACCAATAATGCTTTTAAAAATTTGAGTTTTATTTCAATACTAATCCTTTTTAAAATAAATTATATCAACATTCATTAATTTGGGCTAAAAAAACTTGCAAGTTCATAACCCATAATAATTGTGTGCAATTCATCAAAATCAATGATATCACATAACTAATTGTCAGATTTGTATGTTTTCAGTCAAGTTGAGTTTTAAAAGAAAAAATTATTTGGACGCCAAAAAAATTTGTGTAACAAAACAATTTTGCTTGTCAAAAAAATAACAAATCTAATACACTCAAATTCTAAGAGTTCTTTTGACTAACCGTAAACACCCAAAAAATCTGAACATAAAAGTACAAAAATCGAACATAAAAACCTTAAAATTAAAAATTCCACATTTGTTTTGCGGGTAAAACAACTAAAATTAACAAAATCTACCGGCGCACACTCAAATTCGAAGGATTCTTTTGATTAATTGTAGAAACCAAAAAATTCAAACATAAAACTACAAAAATCGAAAATAAAAACCCTCAAATTGAACAATTCATATTTTGTTTCGTGCAAAACACCTAAAACTAATTTAAAGCATCGATTAAATGAAAACTAAAACAAAATGTATTTATAAGACCCTTAGTGTTACAACTTAGAATGGAAAAGGTGGAAGAAGATTGATGAAAAAAGACGAAAGAAGAAGTTGGAAGCGGTGAAAAATGAAGGAAGAAATGAAGCTCTTGGTCCGATAATTTCACTATTTATACTATGTTCAGTGTAATCTAAACCGTCAATTTGTGTTGACTAATCTGGAATGGATTATTTTTTCTGTTTTGTTTGGGTCGATATGAACTTTCGAAGCCAACATTATACATTAGGCCGATATGAACTTTTGAAGCCGACATTTTTCAAAAAACATTCCTATTTTACAAGCCCAACATGATTAATATAAATAATTACACGTATCTTATAATAAGTATTTGTTACGTTTAGTTATAATCAATGATCGGTGTTTTATTATGTAATCTGAATTTAAATGCAAAATTGTCTTCTAATAAGGACGGAAATAATCAAGCCCCGTACATCGCACGGGTACTGTACTAGTTACCTCTATAAATAAAGAAATTTGATACCTGCAATTCATTTCTTTTATTTTTAAACACCAATTCAATATAATTAAACTCAGAATGTACAAGACGAGTAACCAAGTGGTTACTACGAGACCATAAACAAGCCAAGGATAACGAGAGGGAACGGCTCAACACGAACCAACCAAAGGGACCAACGAGGCCGCAAAATACAAAGCTACTACAACGAAACCAGCCCACAACAGCAACAGAACAAAACCAAAGGAACCACCCTAACCAAAATGCACAAGAGAAAAAGTTTTGAAAAAGAAAGAAAAGTACAAATGTCATTAACTAAAGCATTAATATCCCAGCTGAAGCACTCTTTCCCAGCCCATCTTCAAACCCTGCTCTAGGCAAGCTCGAATTTCAAACAGAATATCCTCCATTGGTTGCATCTGAGATGCATCCCTGGAGTTGGTCCAATTTGCCACCTCTGAGCTGTCAAAAAAGCAGAGCCTTGTACTTTCCAGACCACTGAGAGAGAAGCAGAAGGCAGCTTGAGCAAGCTCCCCTATCCCTTGATTCTCATCAAAAGCAGCTTTTTCCATGCAGAGCCCTCTGCCAAACTTGATATTGTCAAACTCCAACCATTCTAACTTTGCCTTTTCAACCAGTTGCAGTTCTAATGAAGTCTCCCCTTGAAATATCCGAGCATTCCTTGTTCTCTACATCCAACATAGGAGATGGGTTGAGAGAGAGATCCTATCCCTGCTAACATCACTGTTCTTTAGGTTGCAAAGGTCATGCCACCAATGGGTGAAGGTAGTACTTTGCTGCTTCAAGTTGTTCCATTGAATTCCTGCAATCTTCCACACATTTTGTGCTCTATCACACCTTCTGTGAGAAGTCATTTGTAAAACAAACTAGGAGGAATAATTTTTCATTTAGTAGCACTGCAACCCATTTTCTCGGAGCCATCTCAATCTAAAAAATGCATGAAATATATAGAAATAATTATTTTCGCAAAAACATGTTGAATTGGGTACTATGTGATCTATTTTAAGTACTCTATATATAGAAATATTGTTTATATTACTAAAGAAATATTGTTTATATTATTCCTATATAAAGAAATATTGTTTATATTACTAATTTACTGGGGTGATCTCTGCGAAAATTTATGTTGGGTACTGAACTTTAAAATGAAAATTGGTTGGGAAGTGACACTCAATTCTCCCAAAAATTAAAGTTCCTTTGTAAACCTCTAAAATGTGTAAAACCGTGTACATTTAACAAATTGCAAATTCACATGTACAAACCATCAGTCTTCAAAAATACTAGAAAATAGAAATCTAACCAACCAACATTATATGCTGTGAAACACTCACATAGTTGCTCCCTTTCAGGCTACAGTTAGTTTATACAATATGGTGAAATGACTGAATAAAACTGCAATCACCATGCAATCAAATGCTCAGAATATATATATATAAGGACTGAATCCACTTTTCACAAGACCCTTTTGTGAATAAATATTAACAGCAGCTGTCATACATCATCATACACCAGCAATCGTTCTTCAACGTATACACGGCAGATCGGGCATCTCTTGCACTTTTCACAACACGAGCTGTAGCATTTTACATACATATCGAGTAACAGTCACCATTTTTTTCGCCATTTGAAAGATTAAGTGTTGTGAGTAAAAGTCAGGCCAAACAACATATTGATATGCCATTCTTCTTAGTAATGTAGTTACACAAATCTGCCTTTAAGGTTTAGCCTAGTTACTTAAGTCATAGTGAGTTTACATCATTTAAATACCCCTTGGAAGTTCGTTATGTGAGAATTCGTAGAATGGATACAAACTTAAAAGGGCTATTTGTTGTTCCAAAAGAATGATAATTGGATTGTAGTAATTAGGCTAAACCTCAATGGTCATTTCTGTAAAATCTTTCTTCGAAAAACCAAAGTTTCATCTCCATAATATATCAACTCAAGCTAAAAACAGATTCAGTATGTTTATGCAATACCTGCAAAGAACATAATGCCTACAAGGCAGCAAAACTACATTTATGTGCTCGTCAAAGCATACTCGGCACAGGATTTTTTCCTGACAGAAGCAAATAAGTAAACACATTAGCAAATGTTGGTAGCAAATTTTGTGAA